AGCCGGGGCCTTCCGTCGAATGTTATCGAGGGATTCTTTGCTGTTCGCTCTGAACTCAGGGTGTTTAAACTCCCAGGCCTGAAGAGCAAGTACAGTTAGGACCTATCGCATCGACTGCCACTAAGCGCAGGTTGCTTACATTCTGTCCGTATGGTGACTGTCCGTTTTCCTCGTTGTTCTGTCTCACTTTGTGGAAGTCGTACTTGTTCAGCTGTCGCACGAAACTGGCAAAGTTGCTGTGTTTAAAGTGCTTCGGAAGGATAGTCTTGGTGAATTTTTCGCACTGAATAGATTTCTAGGTCAGCCTCGAGGATTGCGACCGCAGGAAAGGCAGACGGGGTGGGAGATGCGAAGAGCGCCATACCTCCAAGACCACAAAACTGTCTCCTTCGTCACCCCACCGCACGATTTCCGCGTACGATGGGTCTTCGAGCATCCTTTGCGATGAGGATTAGCACGCATGATCAATGTCGAGATTATGCAGAGCATCGCTAGATTCTACTAGGGCGCAGCGACAACCGGACAGCGAAAGCCGGGGGGCTCTCAAACCCGGCGGACGAGAAAGCGAAACGATGAAGCGCAGGCAAGGTACAGGGAAGTAGTAAAAGGGGAACAACTCACTTGTAGAGTTTTCGTACCTAACCATCATGTTAGCAAACTGAAGAATAATCGCATAGAAAATAATAGCGATCATGAGGTTCACAACGGTCGCTATCGAGGGCGACACTTACAAAATCGCTGGAGTTGCCCGCGGGGGCGGTGCTGGTCGAGGTCTGGCCACCGTCCATCGTGGGCTAGATGGGTCGCGACCGATCGAACAAGCAACAGGCTCAACAAGTCGCAAGGCGAGAAACGGGCGGAGGGACGGGAAAGAAGAAAAACCAGCCAGTCGTCAAATTAAATGTCGGGTGGCAAAGGAAAAGGGAAAGAAAGGAGACTGGAGAGAAAGAGAAATAGAATAGTGATCAGACAAGAAAAAGAAGAGGACGAAAGAAAAGAAGAGGAATGGAGGGAAAGAAAGAAAAAGACGAGCGTAAGGTAGTAGTCGTGGTCGAGAGATGGTGGTGGTGGTGGTAGGCAAGTTTAGTTTAGTGAGCCTTAGTGTTAACTGAGGAAGTAGGAGGAATGGGGATTAATTAGTCAATGCCGTTCGGGTTTAGTTCCAGTCCCTCCTTTTGGTGGAGCCTGATATTTTTTTGGGATTTATTATTTTCAGTCTTGGTCTTGTTGCCCTTTTTTCCTTGAAGAGGGGAAGATAAAAAAGAAATAAGAAGGGAAAAAGAAATAAAAAATAAAAAATAAAAGAGAAAAAGAAAATCCTCATCAAATCAAATAACATTCAACTATAATAAAATACTAAATCATCACTCAACGGTCGGTAGTTAGGTTAGGTAGCAGAGAGAGAGAAACACCGAGGGGCTTTTCTTCTCCCCCCTCTCTTGTCTTGTCAGTCTGTCAGTCTGTCTGCCTGTCTGCTGCTGCTGCTGCGCTGCTGAGTTGGGGGTGGATTAGCAAAAGGCAGGCTTGTGGGTAAAGGTGGTTCGGTGATTTGCTTTCCATGGCTCACTCTCATTTGGCAATCAGGTTCACGTTCACCCAGCCCAGCAAAGTTTCTTCTTGTAGTATCTACAGTAGTCAAATGTATGAAGTAGCAGTGGTAGTTAGTGGTATTGATTATTATCGACGCATCTCCAATTGCCCCAAGTGGGTTTTCCGGTTTCCCCCCCGAGTACGTGGTCACTAGCCACATCTTCCAACCCACCCGTTGGGTTGTCACTTCTCCGTCCCTTTACCCCTTCCGGTTAATCTTACATGACTTTGAAAGAGATGTACAATTTCTCTAGTATCTACTTGTCCTCCAAGCATTCTGGCAATTTGAAATTCTCCGTTTGACGGGTATCTTGAGGCTGTTTCTCATGCAGCACTTGTCTCTAATTCTGGGGGGGGGGGATGGGGGATGACCTCACGCAAGGAGATCCATAAGAGGGGTAGAGGTAGAATTCTTAATGCTAAGCCAACGAAAACCTAACACTGGGAACTAAATCTTAGAGCCCCTGGGTCTAACTAACTAATAGGGACTGACAACTCAATATCGTTCACCAAGAATCATGCTCCCCTCCTTTTTAAACTTTCCCAGCATACATACAAAGTATAAGGCGAAGAAGAAACGGTAGAGAGAGAAAGAAGAAAAGGAAATAGAATGAATGGGTAAAATGAAGAATTCCGGCCTAGAAAAAAAAAGATAATTAACTAGGTAATAATAAAAGGACGAAAAGAGAATATCCATTACCCAAAAACAAACGCACAAGGCACCAAGTAAGGAAGGCAACAAAGCAAGTGTGACTGACTGAGTGATCAGTATCCACCACTTCTTCTGGCGGAACTACCGGTCCAAAGACTGCTGTCAGTGCGCCTGTTGGATGCAGAATGATGCACGAAAAGGATGGGGGGGAAGCTATGGAGATAGGCTGCCTCAGGTGGAGGGGCCTTGGATTCTGCGCAGCGATCAACAACCCGAACGGCCGTGTCGTGGTATACGGAGGGAGGGGTGGACGGAAGCAATGACCGTTTTGATGTTTATCTCTCAGCCCATCATCCTTGTCTTCTCTTTTTGCCTTCGTTCATTCCTCTCGGACCCCGCGGTAGCCAGCGGGTTTGTACGAGGTGGGGTTCCAGAGAATCAAATCAACTGCATCATTACTTACATACAGTATGTATGTATGCCTTCAGTGCTCGACTTTGCTCTGCTGGGCCATCTTTTCCTCTACTACAGATGGTTTCCCTTCTCAGGGGGCCCCAATTTCGGCAACAGTTGCAGATCCCCTCTCGCGGGTTAGCCGACGATACGAGGATCCAGAGATGATTACAACTAACTAGTTAACGGGTTATCAGGTGTGTAAGTAAGAACGACATGACAAAGAAAGAACAGAGACAAGCCATGAAATAGGTATACTCTAATTCCAGTCTTCCTCATTGAGCCATAAGATGTGATAGAGAGATCGGATGGGCTCTTAATTTAGCACAAGGAGCTATGGAGTAATATGGATCATGGAGACGCCACCTCCCGAACATCATGTACTAGTTCTAAGGAAGCTGGTACTATTAATATTATGCGAGACAAACTATGTAAGTAAGTGCCCAACTAATATACTGGTTAATCCGACTCCTGTCTTCTCCTCTCATGCTCGTCTTATCACGCTCATCCAGCCAGCCCATGAATAAGATCAATTATCAGCCAAGGTTCTAGATGGGGGGGAGGTGCTGCTGAGAGTCCAGACTCAAACCCCCCCCGGTCCAAAGCCACTTGAATGCTGCAAACGAACCCTTGCAGTTTAGAGACAAGACAATGCAGGGTTGGTGTCCGTCAGTTGGAGGGAACAAAGGCTGTCAGAGATTCTGAGGCAGCGATCGAGACTGGTCCATGAGATCTTGCCGGAGTCGATGTCCGCACGGTATGATTGATTCGATGCTCACCCCCCTCTTCATCGCGGCCTTGTGTCTGGTACTACTTCCCACATGCCGGGGGAGGCGAATCTGAAGTGATGATATGTAAACATACATAAGTGGGCCCTGGATACAGCGTTATCGCCCTTTTTCACGTGGATGGTTGTTTTGAAACCAGCAAGAGGTCCCGGAATTCTGTTCACAACCGCACTATTGTGTGGCTTTATCTGCAGAGGGCAGTTGGCTGTTTCAATCAACCCTTTCGACCATCAAGGATAGTTCAAAGTCCTATACTAAGTACTATCCTCCTCTTCCTCCTTAGCAAGTCCCCACGTTCTCCAGTCGACGTCCGGGCGCTGCAGCCGAAGAGCGACCATGACGAAATCATCGCAATGTTTAATGTTCCGACCTCCCGAACGGGAAGCAATTTAAATTAATGTTTGTTATTTCTGGAGAAAGCTGAGGAAGCTCCACCAGCTCAGGAACAACAATAATCAACTTCCATCCAGCTCCCACCTTCTTCCTCCCTTCCACCTCCCATATCGCTCATTGCTCATTTTAAACTTCCTGTGGCAACCCCCCAACGGGAATATTCAATCTCTCACACCAAACACATTCCTTGTCAAATTATCATCCATTCCTCCCTGTAGCCATCATGTTTGCTGCTCGTCGTCTTACCGCCGGTGTCCCTCGCACCTTGTCCCAGAGGGCCCTTTTCCACAGCACGGCACCCGCTTTTGTTCAGAAGGGAGACGCCATCCCCGACCTTGATGTCCTGGTTGAGAACTCGCCCGGCAACAAGGTGAACCTCGCCAAGGAGCTCAAGGGCAAGGGCGTCATCGTCGGTGTTCCTGCTGCCTTCAGTATGTAATCTTCTTGCCGATATCGTCGGCCCGGCCTAGGATACGAGTGGTCGCTGTTATTAAAGATATCCCCTGGTGATAAATTGCTAACCGTTCCACCTCGGCGGAAATTAGGCCCCGCCTGCTCTGCCACCCACGTTCCTGGATTCATCAACCACCCCAAGCTGAAGGAGGCCGGTCAGGTCTTCGTTGTTGCAGTCAACGACCCTTTCGTGTAAGTTACGGGTCACGTACGGTGTCATCCGTTAATCGAGGGTATCATGGTTAACCCGACAACAGCACCAAGGCATGGGCTACCTCCCTTGACCCCGAGGGCAAGAGCGGCGTAAGTGATCTTATAACCTGGTTGTACGAGAAACACCCGGTGCCGTGTACTAACGCTACATGATAGATCCGCTTCTTAGGTGACCCCAGTGGCAAGTTCTCCGAGGCCCTGGATGTGACCTTCGACAGCGCTTCCATCTTTGGAAACAACCGCAGCAAGCGTTACGCCCTGCTTGTCGAGAACGGCAAGGTCAAGGAGGCTTTCGTGGAGCCCGACAACATCGGTCTTGACGGTATGATCCCAAAAACCAGCATATAAATTGTTTGTTACTAACGGATTATGTAGTCTCTGCGGCCGAGAAGGTCTTGGCCTGAACCAGCCCAGAGAATTAGCATATAAAAAATTATATACTTAGGCTCTTCACATGACAATATATCATAATATTTATTGCGATAGAACTCTATTTTCAGAACCACAGCCAGCGAACCATAAGTCATAACTGGCAGCGCAAAGCCATGATGTCGAATAACCCAACGCCCGACGGCATGCCCTCAAGGGCATGTCAATCCCAAGGATATATTCAGTCCCTATTCCTCTAGCCTCCGTCTTCACAACAGAGTTAGCCCTGGTGCAGCGCCTGCCACTGCTCGGGAGTGTAGCACTTGGGCGTCCAGGCGTGGATGGCAGCGATCTCGGCCTTGAGGGCCGAGTTCACGAGGCGATGGCGAGCAAGCATGGTCTTCTTCTCGAACTGGGGGGAGACAATGACGGCCTGGAAAGCCTGTCCGCAACCACCTGTAGACAACATTATCGTCAACATCTGGTCTTGGCATCATATTGTGTAGCATTCATTCCCTCATGGAGATGAAATTAATCAGCAGGCGCTCTCATACCCGACAAGTCTTCGATCTCAACATGCTGCGCCTGCAACTGATCGATCAATTTGCTCTTCAGCGACTCGGCCGTAACGCCCGAAGTATCGGCCATGGCTGCGTTGACTGCCGCAAAGGAGCGCGCGGAAATCGAGAACGGCGATTTGTGATGGACGGGGGTGCGGAGAAGATACCGGCAGCTTCTGCTCAACAGGGTAGTGGTGCGGGAGTACATCAAGCGAGCCGGGCGGCGACTTCAAAGGTATATAAGGTACTTGAATAGTTAAAGGTATTAAATTATATTAAGGTGAAGCGACCGAGAGTCGTTAAGAGCGATTTGAGTCAGAAGGGTGGGCAGCGCGGTGATGCTTCTTCCGATGTAGGATGACGGAATTCCTTCATGCTGGAATTGATCCTCTTTCTCCTTCCTCCCGTACCGTACCGTAAGAAACGGATTGGTCAGCTGCCGTTGTGGCTGGTGGATACTAGCCCCAGTCTGGACTAGGGCAGCTGTGGCGCCAGCTTCTCCTCGGCTTCCATCGCTTCTTCTAAAGCTTCATCTGCTTTTACGTTCGCGGGGTATTTTCTAGCTCAACTTTGCGCTGGCCTGCTGACATCCCGGAATTGCACCTGATCATCGCACATCCCAGTCTACAACAGCATTGTCTATGAACTCTCTTCGTCGCCAATTCGCCCGCCTATATTCCACAATGTCTGCTTCATACCCCACCTCATCGCCATTTACGCAGGCAGTGGTGAGCTCCATGAGGAAGCTGTATGCTTTCCGTCACCTACATTGATCAATTGAGTTCCAAAATTGCTAATTCGTTCAATGCAACAGCTACCCCGAGTCATTGGCAGATAAGAGCTGGGACAACACCGGCCGTAAGCTCCCCCCATCCTCTACCACCAGTCTTATACCCCATTAACTCTACATCCCAGTCCTTCTCGAAGCCCCCTTCGACCACACCCGCCGACAGAAAAACTCCGTCCTTCTAGCAATTGATCTCACCAAAGCAGTTGCAGACGAAGCAATTGCCCGTCGCGACTCCGTAGTCGTAGCCTACCGTGCGCAATGCCCCCCAAACACCTACACCCCATCACCGACTAACACAACTAACATATCCAGACCCTATCATCTTCCGCGGCCTCAAATCCATCACCTTCAACGACCCCCAACAATCATCCCTCCTCCGTCTCGCCCAAGAAGGCATCAGCGTCTACTCCCCGCACACAGCCATCGACGCCACCCCCGGCGGCATGGCCGACTGGCTCTGCGACATCGTCACCGGCGCCATCGCCCCAACCACCAGCACAAAGCCCACCATCCAGAAATCCTCCTCAACACATTACTCCCACGCCACCTTCCCAGACCCCCAGCCCGCATCCCCCGCGACTCCCGTCCCCCACGTCCGTAACACAATCATCCCCTCTCCGCCCCCAGTCCCCGAAGGCATGGACTCAGCCGGCATGGGCCGCATCGTCACCTTCGACGAGCCCCAGCCTCTCACTGCCGTCGTGGACCGCATCGCCCAGGGCGTTGGATACCCCGGTGGTATTCCCATCGCTATTCCGCAGACCTCCTCGGTCGAGGACATCAAGATCCGCACGGTGGGTGTATGTCCCGGCTCCGGATCGAGTATCCTGTTGAAGGGCACGGGCGGGAAGATCCCTGATCTGCTCTTCACGGGCGAGTTGAGTCACCATGAGGCGTTGGCGGCGGTGGAGCGTGGGTCGGTTGTGGTTGCGCTGGCGCATTCGAATACGGAGCGTGGGTATCTGCGTGCGGCGATGAGGGAGAAGTTGGCGGGTGCGGTGAAGGAGGAGTGGGAGGCGAAGAGGAAGGATGGTCTGAAGGGTGGTGCTGCTGGTGCGGAGTTGAAGGAGGTGTTTGGGGATGCGGAGTGTGTGGTGGATGTTAGTGAGAAGGATCGTGATCCGTATGGTATTATGATTCGTCAGGTGTAGATCTAGCCATCTACTTACTACATACATCAACTGAAGATGAAATAGCATATACAATATAAACGACTCGACTTCACATAGTAACTAAAAAGCAAATGCTATCAGACACAATCCGCACTATATACATTAATCCAACTCGATCCACAAAACCCAAAGACACCCCCCCCCAATAAGAAGCTCCTAACTCAACTCAACAACACCCTAATCTCCCCAGTAGTCCTAGGGAACAACCTCCTCAAACCCCCCTTCTCCTCTCCCTCTCCCTCCTCCTCCTCCTCACCCTCATCCCCATCCACCACACCCCCACGCGCCTCATTATCCGCCGCAATAACCATGCCCTCAACAAACTCAAAGTCCCTACAAAACGCCTCGACCGCATCCTCCGTAACGCTCTTCACGAACGTCGCGCTCGCCACGCGCTTCAAGTTCTCCGTAGCATCCATCAACGCAGACGGAAGGAAGTCATCCAATTGCTGACTGATATTAACAAGCGCCTGCGGCTGGAAGGCCGGAAGGGTGAGGATATCTGAGATGTTCGATGACGACTTCTGCTGTTGGTCTGAGGGTGGTTGTTGAGGGGAGAATGGTTCCAGGGCTGCGAGGAGGGTTTGGAGACCTGAGGAGGTGAGGAGGTAGCGGTGTTGGATTTCGAGGAGGTCTGTGCGGAGGGTTGAGAGGGCTGTTTGGATTGGGGAGAGGTGGGTGGTGCTGGCGAAGGGGTAGGGGGATATGGTTGTGCGGACGGTGAGGTGGATGTTGGTTAGGTAGATGGTTTGGGTGGTGTGGGAGGGGAGATCGGCGGCGGAGGATTTGGCTAGGTCGAGGAAGGGTTCCAGGGCGGAGTGGAGGACAGGGGTGAATTTGTTCTCGGTGCTGGTGCTGGTGCTGGTGCTGGTGTCCTGGGGTGGTGGTGAGGTGGGTTTGGGGCCGGGGGTGGGGATGGGGTCGGCGCCGTAGGAGGCCTCGTGGGTTTTCATTAGGGAGGTGAGGACTTCTAGGGCGTCTTGGAGGAATTGGGGGGCGGAGAGGTCCGCCGGGGGTGTGAGGGCTGAGGGGTCTGTTGAGATGTTGTTGACTTCGTCGTGCATGAGGGTTTCGAAGTGATTGAAGGTGAACTTTTCGAGGGTTTCAAGGAGCTCGGCGAGGTTGGATTGCGGGCCGAGGAGTTTGCTGAAGGTAGTTTGGTAGAAGGATAGCAGGTTGACTACCTTGTAGCAGGTGACGGGGTCGTCGTGGCCTTGGATGACTAGCTCGACGCGCTGGCGCAGGGCTCGGGAGACTCCGATGAGATCGCGGTTGACTAGATCGCTGAGGGCCTTTTGACCGTCGAATGATACTTCTTTGTCTTCGTCGATACGGGACCAGGGTTCGCTGCTTAGCCCGGCTTGGATGCCTTTGGCGAGCTCTTCGCCGTCGGCGACGAAGAGGGCCTCGAGTGCCTCTCGTTCGGAGACGGTGGTGGAATGCACCCAGGCCAGCATGTCTCCGATGTACCTCAGGGGGTCGTGGGCGGAGAACTCGATTGGCTTCACGTTGGTGTCACCCGTCGAGCCTGAGACTGCATCGGTAAGGGCGTAATGGAAGGCATCAGAGAGGACGTAGTCTCGTGCCTCTGCGAAAAAATCCAGGCAGCTGTGGAACAAGCTTGGCCGCTCCGCCAGCACTCGCAGAACACGTCTGATAGAGCTGCTGATGCGAGGATCTTCAAGGTTGAGGGATCTGAACTCCTTCTGTATCCACCTGTAGAGTTTCTGGTAGGCGGAGTTGAGGCTTCTAGAGCTCTTCTCCATGAGTTCCAGACCCAGTCGCTCGTTCTCACCCCCGAGGAGTGCTTCGCAGTCCCGGTAGACTTGCTTGACTCTGGCGAGGACTTCGAAGAAATGGTCATCAATAGGCTCCTCAGCATGTGTCAGGATCAGCAGATCCTCGTCAGGAACGATGAAATGTTGGGTGAAAGCCTCCAGCAGCTCCTGTTTGGTCTCCGCCTCTTTCTTCTGTTTCATCAAGGCCGACGCTTCCTCGAGCACTGGTGCTGTTTCCTGTCTGGCAGAGACAATATGTTTGCGCATCTCATCGCAAGTCTGGTTCAGGTTGGTAATCACAGTTCCTATCCGTTTCAATTGCTGCGCAGCAGGCTAAGTTAGCATCCATTGGATCTCTCAGCATCGGCGCATCTCACCTCCGCAACCAGACCGAAATCCCGCACAATCTCGGCATTGCTGTCGACGACCTCCTTCTGAACGTCCAGGCGTAGTTGTCTCCGAACTTCTGCCGTATTGTGTATCCCCCTGAGGCTGAGTGTCTCCAGCGCATCGCGAATGTCCGAGTCCGCATAGGAGGCCGAAAGTACACTTGTCAGTCGGTTGGATAAGGCATTGGATCGCTGGTGTACGGGGGGTGAAAGCGGGGAGGAAGCTGGCGATGATGCTCGAGTAGAGCCATGGCTGGAGATGACTCCATTGGGAGGGAAATAGCTCGCCATCGTGGGACTGTTGGCCTAGTCGAGCTGTCTAGCTGGGATGGTCACTACGAGTGTCCCGCGGGATGGAAGCGGAGGCGGGATTCGGCGCAGCGCTTTCCCCGGCCGGGTTGTTGATCCGTCCCTGTACCTGAATCAACCTTTGAACCTAATCCTTTCCTCAGCCCGCATCCTTAAGCAAAAATCAAATCTTTAATTGTTTGAGCCTTTACATGGCTATTCAACCCTTGTATATCCAACTAATCTCTTACGACGCGATCGATTGCCATGGATAGCCCCCTCCTCTCCCCCGCAAAAGCGCGCCAAGCGGCCATTCAGGCCAAAGATTGGGCCTATGTCAATGCATGGCTCAGTCGTCAGTACGCACCGAATCCGGTTCCCAGCTTCGAGCGAAATGAAGATACACTGCGCACTCTCTTAGCACTGGCCGCTGCCAATGATACTGCGGATGAGGAAGCCACCGTTCTCCACCAGGCTCGCGAGCAGGCGGTTGAAAGCTTCAAAGCCCAAGAGGAGAATGAGGTAAAGCAGAAGGTGGAAATACTGCATGAGGTGGAGCATAGTCTTGACGACAATGGCAGACGAAACCTGGACGACCTGGCAGAGACAACGGCAGTACTTGGGGCTTTGGGCACAAGTACGAGAGACCTGGGCCAATCGATCATTGAACTTACGGTGGAAGAATTCGACGCGCAGCAGCAGATGAGTAGAGTACAGGCACTACACGAATACTTGGGCAGAGAGCTGGCTACGCTGCGAGAACAACTTTTAGACCTCAAGACCAACGAGGTGTATGAAACACCAGCCAACCTCCCAGCGCTAACGGCGGAATGGACAAGAGAAACCAAACTGCTCAGCGCCAAAGCTGGCGAATACCAAGATCGAATTGCCTCGCTACAGAGAAATAGGAGCAAGGGACCCACGCTTGAAGAAGTAATTGCGGAAGAGCAGACCGTGATCAGGATGCTGGAGAGCACTAAAACACTAGTGGAGAGGGTAAAGAAGCTCCATGATCTGCCAAGCGACATCCCTGGTGCTCGGGCGCAATACAAGGAGCTAGAACAGGAGCTTGATCGACTCACCCAGCAACGGAACACTACGTCTGAGAAGCTTGCCGAAAAGTAAATGCTACGCTACAAATGATGTAGGACTTTGTTTATCAAATATTCAACTAGTATTGAGCTAGGGAGAGGTGATACTGTCAAGGTGTGGTATCGTCAACTCATAAAATCATGAAAAGGACAATCTGCCGTGAGCCGCCAACCCCATCGTTCTCCGATTCCATGCATCACAGAACAGTGAAAGCGCTATTGGTCATGACTCGTCGATCGATTGTATTCGGAAGTGCTGTGCACTTAGTTGTTACCCAGACCAAGGGTGTCCTTGATCTTGTCGCCACTGCAGAGTCTGTTAGTCAAGATGTTCTCGTTGACCACTGCACGATCAGGGATATACTGACATGGAGCCGGAGGCACCGCCGTGAGCGTTGTTGTCGCTGGCACGCTGAGTCTTGTCGAAGGCCTGCTGGGGAGCAGACTTGCTATCATCGGTCTGGAAGCCGCGGGCGACACGGTCAGTGGTGTCGGTGAAGGTCTCCTTAACCTTGTCCTGGGTGGACTTGGTGGAGTCAGGAGTCATCTCCTCCTTAGCCTCTGCAGAAGCGAGTAAGTATCACGCAAGCCAATTGGCATGGGGCGCCTGAACGCAGGAACAGGAGACATACTGGTGGAGAAATCCTTGCGACCGGCGTCAGACATGTTGATTGAGTGGTTGTTAAGAGAACTTGAAAAGTGTTGGTTGTAGTTGAGTTTTGGATTGGATGTTGCGGTTTGTAGATGATTGGATTGTTGATGGCAGAGACACTCATCGACGGTGCAGAGGAGTCTTTATATAAGTTTTTGAGTCCTCAAGTTGCTCCATGACGTCGACTATCCTGGCAGTGAATGGCTACGCCATCGATAAACGTGAATGCAGCCAGTGAAACCGGGAGGTAGCAGTCCTGGAAGAGATACCAGCGAATCAACGTCATCATGAGGGGAGTACCCCGGTTTCGATCAGGACGCCGGATCTTGCATGTGCGTCATCGGGGCATGGCGATATTTGAGTTTATTCACTGTGTACTGTGTATTGTGTACAAACTACAAGGTCGAAAAAGCGGATGGCGCCAGACCTCGCCGATCTGGTCCAGACTTTCCTCTTTGGGGGCGGCCCTAGTCATGACGTCTGCATGATCGCATGTAGCTCGATGCGGTTAGCGCCAGAATGTTCTCGGAACTATGTTAAAGCGAGCACCGACATTGGGCTAGACTGCAAATAGTATAGCTTTGTTGTGCAATGTAAACAGCAAGCGGTAGCCACCAGCAGAAAGCGGCCAGCTGTTCACCGCCACGCGGCGAGTCCCTTCAGGCCGACTGCCTGTTGTCCTGCCTGACGCTCTCCCTCTCTTCGTCTTTCCAATGCGTTTGGCGCCAACACGCTCTCTCGTTAGGTCTGCTGGACCACCATGTTGATCGGCTCTATATCTATTTGCTCTGTTTTTCTTTGCGATTTTGACCTACCGTTTTCCGTTTGTGCTTGACATTCTCTGCGAGCCCGCCGGTTTGTGATTATCTCTGGAGGCAACCCCGCTCGCCTTATCAATCACTGCTCCAGCTGCTGCCGGGCAATCAACACCCTCATTGCACACCAATTTCGCCCTCGTACTTGTAATGCCATCATCGTTTGAATCAGCTTCAAATTGGGATTTCACTCCGGTGATCAATCTCCTCCGCACCCCGACCTACGGCACTGGTAGCTCATCGGTTCCTTATCGCCACCCGGAGTCCGCCCCAATTGTTCGGCCTGCTTGGGAGACAAACAACAACGATGACTCCGCTTCCTCTGCTGATGTGCGCGAGGTGAGGCCTGGTGAGGGGGCCCCTCCGAAACTAGGAGACTTTGGTTCTCTTTGGGAGCTTTTAGGCAGTACTAGCATCTCGGCCAGCCGCCCACCAGTTGAACCTTGTGAACTTCAGCGGAACACGCCTACCCCTACGCCACAATCGCCTAAGCGAATCGAAATCCTCAAACGACCTTTGAATGACCCTGTCGACTCTGCAGGCTTGGATGAGGAGCCTTCCCGTACTCCGTCAAAGCCTATACCTGTCTCCAGGTCCCGCAACTTGCAGGCCAAGGCCACCGCCGGGAAGCGAGCTCCCAATAAATCAGATGTTGCACTAAGCAAGCATGTAGATGAGGCTAGCACCTCTGAGAGCGCTGTGGAAGCCGAGTCTGATGGCAACCTTAGCGTCTTTGATCCTCCTTTGCTCAAGAGTGGAAGCACTCCGTCGCTGGTCCCTCCGCAGGTCGGCACGGCGGGTGCCATGTCTGATCCATATGAGACGCCGCCTTCCTCCTATGATGAGTCGATGGAGGCATCTCCCCCGAAGATTGTGAAAAATCCTCCCAACACTGGCACGCTACGCGTACAGCCTATTGCATATAGGTCTACGGCTGATCGGAGGATCGGTCTCTTGACTAAGCTTTTGAAGAACTTCCCCGACTATGCAGATGCCGTAACCCAAGTCGGGCGGCCTTTGAACTCTAAGAAGACGGATGTCACCCGCCGTCCCATCCATGTCTTTGTTGACATGTCCAATGTATGTATATTCAAGACTAATGGTGTGTTTGCGCTAACTGGGCCAGATCATGGTTGGATTCCACGATACGGTCAAGCTATCGCGCAAAATCCCGGTGAAGACGCGGATTCGTCGTTTGCCTTTGTCATTTCAAAACTTCTCTCTAATCCTCGAGCGTGGCCGGCCCACCGCCAAACGAGTCCTGGTGGGCTCGGATCGATTTGCAGCCATCACCGAAGGCGAACAACTTGGTTACGAAGCCAACATTCTCGATCGGGTCCACAAAGTCAAGCATATGACTCCTCGTCAAATGCGGTTCCGCAAGAATCCTCGAGCTGGCGCTCACGACCCTGGTAGCGGTTCAGAAACGAACGAAGCATCAGAGGAGCGCTGGGTTGAGCAGGGTGTGGACGAAATTCTACATCTGAAGATTCTCGAAAGTTTGCTAGACACGGACGAACCGGCAACCATCGTTTTAGCCACAGGAGACGCGGCGGAAGCCGAATTCTCGGGCGGATTTATGAAGATGGTAGAGCGGGCGCTGAGCCGGGGCTGGGCCGTAGAGCTGGTCAGCTTCAGCCAAGTGACGAGCTATGCTTATCGCCGGAAGGAATTCCGGGCGAAATGGGGGAACCGGTTTCGGATGATTGCGTTGGACGAGTATATTGAGGAGCTGCTGGATATGTAGGGCTGGTTACTACATTAGTTGTTGCTGCTGGCAGGTCAGATTGTTATTCCTCCCAGAATAGGATGTTGGTGGTTTTATGAAGATATTTATCAGTGATAGGAGCTCGAGATTAGGATACAACAAATTGAACCATTCTCGAGACTGTATACTTCCATAGTTCAGTATGTTGATATTTACATCGTAAAATAACTGAGGCTTTTGATATCCAGAACTAAGTACTATCCAGGGGTGGAAGTAAATAGATATATATCCATCTGTCAGGGATGAATACCAGAATTGGTAATGGAAAACATATACACTCTCTCCAGCCATATGACAGAAATGATCAAAACACCCTTATCAGCTCCTCATCCATGTGTCAAAATCTGATGTCTTCACTTCTGCCAAAATATAAGCAGTACTAAGTAGAATTGTTCCTCGGCCGGCCATCCGAACACCCCGCCCCCACCATCAATCAAAAGTTCCGCTCCGCGCAGCAGCTGAGCTTTTCCTCTCCTCCATCATACAACAAATTCATTACAACCAGACACCGTACCTCTTTTCTGCCTTCCATACTCTCGTGAATACCCATCCACTTCGACCAGAAAAGCAATCGCATACCACCCCCACACCACATATCCCTTCGACAATCTTCATAATATCATCATCATCCATCCATCCCACCATGACCTCACCACCAACAACATACACCCCGCAACCCCTCTATGGCGGCGCCATCAAAGGCCTCATCCCCAAGGGCTGGCTAGATGCTAGGTACATACCTTCCTCCCTTCCCCTTCCCCTTCCACCCCACCCCTAACCATCCATTAACCCCAATACTAACAAAATGAATGATAAAGTAACCTCCGCCAAATCCCCGACCACCAAGAACTCTACCTCTCCCCAACAACCCTCTCAACCCTCATCTACGAAATAAACGAGTATGTCCCGGACAGCACAAGCCAAGAGACATTATCCAAGCACAGCGAATTATTCGCTTCCGCCACCGGCCTCACCACCACATCTCAGAACCAAGATGATAGAGAAACCCTCGACAAAGCCGCCATCCTCTACCACATCCTGGACATCCAAGAAAATGACACCGTCAGTAAAGAGACTATCCGCTTCCGCACACCGATTACGAGTGTGAGCCGTCGGGAGGGGACTGGGGCGGGGAGGGTGTATACGGGGAGGGTGGAGTTGGGGAAGGAGGGGAAGGATGTGGTGAGATGTACGTTTTTGGTGGTGAGGTTGGAGGAGCAGGGGAGTGATTTGGTGGTTTGGGGGAATGTGCCGGTTAAGGAGTTTGAGGGGAGGGGGGATGGGGATGGGGATGGGTTGAGGGGGGAGGAGGGGGTTGTTGGGGGGGTGGTGGAGGGGTTGCTTGGTGGTGATGGGGATGGGATGGTGGTTGTGGAGTGGGATTTGTTTGGATGATTCCCTCTTTTTCCTCCTTTCTTCTGGTGTTTTTTGGGGGTGGTGTCTGGTGGGGGTGGAGGAATGATACCATTGTGTGCGTACTAGGTAGTTACTTAGATAGTTCTAAATAATATCCATGGATCACTACATGAACATTTAGAAATAACATAGTAATCGGTGTATGTATATTGATTGGTCTGTTTGTACACCTAGAGAAAAGAAAAGAACGAAATGAAAAAAAAACAAGCTGTATGTATGTACATGATCGCTAATAACAAGACATTCAACCGTCAGTCATGACATACATCAAATATTATACCTACTAGATCATCATCCCCAAGTCCCATCTTCACAAGAATCTCCAATTACGTCTGCCTCTGCGTCTCATTCAACACGCGGCCCACCTCATTCAACAGTCCCCTGACGCTTGGAGCTGGCGCGTTCACCGACTTCTTCAATGGCGACACATTCCTCACCTTGGGTTGAATCTGCTGCAGGATGCCCTGGCACCGGCATCGATGTCTCTTGGGGTCAATGCTCTTCGAGTGACGCCCGTAGTCCAAGTTGCAGTGCACGCAGCGCCAGACGTACTTATAGTCGATGGCGTAGTCATGCTTGATCGAGATCTCGACTTTCCCACCGTAGACAGGATGGTTCTTCATTGCTTCCTTGCACTTGCTGGCCCATGCCTTGAAACTAGTGCCGTGGGGGTTGTCATGCACGCCGGAGATCATGTAGTTCGCCAAATGACAGAACTCGTGTGCGACCGTCTTGATAATCCGCTCTTCGCAGTCAACGACTTTCGCTGCCAGTTCGATGGTGGCATAATGCTGAGGTGGCATGGCCGGGTCTCCTCCCTTCTTCGGTGACGGGGTAACACACTTCCAGGATGCTCGACCGGCGGTCGTTTGGAGTCGCTTTTTCCATTCGATGATCACGCCTCCTGTTGAGGCGGTCATTCTTGAGAGTCGGCCGTCGGTCACGGTGTCGTCGAGGACTTTGAAGAATTTCTCGGCCATGGCTTGTCTGTTCTCTATGAATGCCTTCGCACGCTCCCGCTCGAGCTTTCTCTGCTCCACTTCGGCCTTCTTCATAGCTGTCTTGCTGGGTGTTTTTGCTGAGGACTTGGTTGTGGTCTTCGGTGTTACGGTCTTGGGCAAAGTATCCCTGTCACTGAATTCATCATCCGAGTCCGAGTCGTCGAATTCGCGCAGTAGATCGTCGATCTTGCACGGAGAGTGCTGGTCGATCCAGTTGTTGGTGTTTTCCTGGCTCCAGAATGCGTCGACGCTCTCTCGGTGTGGTGTTGGTGGGATGTGGGCCTTCAGCTTGGTTGGAGATCGTAGACTGCGTCCCTTTGTTGGACTAGATGGGGGCGTCTCTAGTTTAACACTGCTCCTTGATGGGAGCTTCTTGGTGGGGGCGTCTACTTCTTCGACACTGCTGCTTGGTGTTAATACATATATGGGTGGCTGGGGGTCTCCATCTAAACTCACTCATAAGTGTATTTCTCTTCCAGCTTGGGCTCTATGTCTTTATTGTCCAGCTTCAGCTTGTTCAACTTCTCGGATATTTCGAGCTCGCTTTGAAACAACCTCTTGGGCTTTGCCTCGAGCTTGGGGACCTCCATTGTTATCGTAGCAGGCACCGAAGGCTCCAAGTGAAGGCTTTCACACGGGGAATCCTGAGGTGTTGTCGCTGGCTCTATTTCTGGACGGGGTCGTCTCCCTCTAAGCAGTCTCTTTCTAGTCCTAGGCGGCGAAGGGGTTGGCTGTTTCTCTTCTTGTTCTTCTTCGAGGCTTTCATCGTCGGACGTCTCATGATAGCTGATATCTTCATTGTCGCTGACAATGAAATCGTCCAGGGAGTCTAAGCCATTATCATCTTCGCTTTCTTCGCCCTCCGACTCCGTCTCCTCTCGACGATATCCCATATACCTCGTCCTGGACCTGCCCCGCGGCTGTGCCTCTCTGTTCGTAGTACGTGTAGGCGCTCGGTTCGAAGCAGTAGACGAGTTCCTCGAGAGCCCGGAACTCTCATCTGCCTCCTCTGCCTCATCATCGATCGGATCATTTTCCTTGTCATAGTTATAGCCGACCGACTTACGCGGCGGTCTATTATTCCGCGACTGCTGCGACAATGGAAGCAACAAAGAATTGACCTGCGAGAGCTTCAAAGGATCCGCAGTGCGTCCCTCATTCGATATCAAAGACCGAGTAGACGACAAACTGCTCTCCTCCGTTTCACTCTGCTCATCCCCATTGTCCGAGAAGATATCGAATACCCCACTGGAAACAGTTCCCGATCTTTGTAGTCTGTTACTATTCTTCCTCTGCGACGATTCTTCAATCGCTGGCGTTGTCGCGGAGTATCGGCTCTTTGTCCATGTCTCGGTGGCGGCCCATTGTTCTACTGTCTTGGCTTTTCCTGTCGGAGGGTATTTGTTGTCTCTGGTGTCGCGCTTGATGGTCGCTGTACGATTGAGGGTCCTCTGCCGTGGAGGTGTTCGGCGCTCTTGGAGCTTTGCCGGCTTCGTGGGACTGGATGGGTTGAGTCGAGCCATAGTGGTCTTGTCTTCTCGTGCGGTGCGGCTGCTGGTGATGATGGGACTCGAGCAGGAGCTCCTCTTCCTCCTCCCACTCCTGCAGGACAGGAAGTGAGATGTCAGAATGCACCTGCTGTGATGCCGGTGCTCGGTATATGTGGTGTCTGCGGACTTGCAGATGTAGGTGTGGTGTACCTGCGTGTGAGCTGGTGCTGGATATATCTATGCAGGTGGTCTAGATAATGTTGATGGATGGGCGAAGAGACGTGGTTGGCACGGCAACCTCGGTACTGGTTCGCCTACCACGGGTTGGTTTGGTGGCAGCCATTGGGTTTAAGGTTCCATGGTGTACGTGGTATGCAGTTATCATCGGAGGTCGGGAAGTTTGATCGTCTCACAACGCAGATTCAAGTCCCTATCGATACATAAAAATGCCTACATGTGGGATGAGAAAGGAAAAATGAAAGCAAAAAAAGATTGAAGACAAGGCCCGAGCCGCGGATCGAACGCGGGACCTCTCGCAGATATGCTTGGGTTTGTATCCCTAAGCGAGAATCATACCACTAGACCACCCGGGCTTGTTATATGTTTAGGCCTCAACTTCTTAATTTATGAGCCTAGGCATAGCTTGTAGGTTATGAACAGCAATCCGTAGGTCTGTCTGTGGCCATGTGGACAGTTTTTCCACAATTTATACAAGTAATTGATTGGCGTGCCTATTAACCTGCTGATTAGCATTTTCATTCATGCTATGACCGAAGTCTGACACGTTGCTACGTGTTATTGTTGTTATGGTACTACTAGTAAGGGTAGCTGTTACATGATATATACATCATCGTTTTACTTAAGCCATCATACACACGACAGACCGGCACACGCCCGCTACTAAACCAGGAAGCTATGTCATAGTAGTAGTGGCCGGTAGTGTCATGAAAGGGATATCAGTGGCACCAAGCCCAGGGGTGACTGGCATACGGATATGATACAGATCAGTCACGGTTCTCCAGCCATGGATAACAACCCCATCTCACGGCAAGAGCAACAGGCATGAACCTACTAGACATGTGAAACACTGGTCACCAGGACAGACAATGATATCACCATAGACATCATAGATGCGGTGAATTGTGGATGCAGAAGCGGGGGGCAGGGATAC